TCAATCACCATCTTAGTTTTCCATTGAGGCATTCTTTTAATATTACCATGAATTCTTGGTAAAAGACCATTGTTTATTAGATGATTTCTGATATTTTCAAAATAAGTTCTACCAATTCCTAACATATTGAGATAAGTTTCTTAACAAAGAAGTGTATTGTGATCCCAGTGATAGAAGGTTCTTTTATTAGATCTGGTTTTCTTTTTAAGGCGTCTGCTGGTGTTTATAGATCCACCATCCATTGCTTTAAGTTGGGCCATTAAAAATATGTCTTGTTCAGACTTGGAAAGAGCTTGAAAGGATTCCCTTAACCCTGCAAATTGTTCTTTGGGAACCATTGAAGAACAACCACATTTACAACCTTTTTCTAAAAAATCAATGGCTTTTTGATATTCATTAGAACCATTATGATTATTATTTTCATTATTACTTTTCATATACCTATAACCATATATATATAATTTTATAATTCTATGTTCACTTTGTAAGTTTTTTATAATTGTTTTAAAATTGAAGTATATGGATGGAATTAATCTTAGATGAATCAGTGGAATAGGTTTAAGTAAATGATTTAAAAAATATGGTTGTTCAATAACTTATGAAGAGAAATTGAAAAATTTGGTCAACTGGCCCCATGAAAAATAATTATGTGCAAAAATTTCATGTTTCCTGATTTTTTTATTAATATTAATAAAGATTTACATTTATCAAAAAAACATCTTTTAAAAAAATTTTATACATTTAAAAAAATGAATCCCATTTAAATTGATTACCACTTGTGTGATTAATTCAATCATTAACACTAAGAAACAAACAATTCCAGAATCATTAAAATTAATGCCATTGCAAGAGTGGAATAAAATAATAATTCTTTAAATATAATTAATTATACACCTTTAATAAAACAAACATGACTTAGCTATTTGTATGTGAATGCCTCCATCCATCAAATATTCATGATGGTCATGATTAGTATTCAATACATTTGATGTCATAATTGACATAACAAACAATTGCATCACCCAAGTAGTAATAACACTAAGGCCATGCATAAATGAAACTTTTAATAATGCATGCCTACCCAGATCTCTGGGGTTCACATGAATAAATAAATAGGGAGGATCAAAAAAATATTATAGTCCCTTAAAATGAATAATAAATCTGATGTTGATCACATGTATCAGATTTAATTAAATTTTCCCATCACAAACATGTCAACAGGTGCTTTCACACGCCTCATGACTGTAGAATTTTTCCACAGGTAAGGTGAAAACATGCTGGAAGGCTTTGGACAAAACTTTCCACATCTTCCCCACAGACCAGGCTTGGCTGTTACTATATGAGCATTGATTGCTGACAAGAATTGGCACTGTGTGATAATTGCTTTATATTACCCCTCTCTAGAATAAAGTTGAAGTCTGCAACTGGTATGAAAATTCTGCAACTTGGGTTGTTGTTTTAGATTTTCCCTGAATCCAGAGTTTTGAGTCCTGGGTTGCTGTCTTGTTGGTGGCATGCCTACTTACCAACAACCCTACCCCATTTAAATAACAAGTTCAGTTGGTCAAATAAAAATTAAAGAAACAGAACATTTGGGAAAATGATTAATTTATACATACATATCAAACAAAACCTGAACCATTTTATGATTTTTCTCTTGTTGACCATGTTGCGGACAAAGATGTATATAAACATGCAATAATTTTAATCTATAGGACAGGGGACTGATTGGGCAAAAACCCATTCAGCCCCCTACCCAAAATTATAAAATTGGTAAGTATCAAAGAAACAGAGAATTTAGGAAAATAATTATACAAAACAAACCCTCTTAACATCAAAGCCCAAATGCAATTTCAGGGTCACCAACCCTGTTCTGAATTATGACCTCCTGTGCTTGAAACAAGTTATTGCTTCAATAGACCTATATGTTTACATAGCACTACAATTCATCAACAGAGTTGTGACCTTGTCGCAGATCCATCATTAGAGGTAGGATCGTTGCAGACAGCTTTTCATCTAACATGGCAGCAGCCTTCTCTGGTCTGGGAAGATTAGTGAAAAGTGTCATTGATGATTGATGCAGTCTCGGTGAACTCCAGGGCCATGCTACCACCCCCCTGGAATTCAGTTGCATCATTGTATCATCGGGGGGCGCAAGTCAGATTAGCCTTGTGCAGACGACGAGGAAAATGAGAGAATGGCTATAAGTGTTCAAGGTAGTGTGCGTGCTTCAACGCCTGCTATTTTCCTGTAATCAAACTTCGCATACTCAGAATGTTTCTTTTTCAACGGTGTGCTGCCTTGACATCTTCTTGTGATTATAATATTTATAATAGTATTATTAATTATGCAAAGCAAAATATTATCAATGAAAATCTTGTAATTACCCAGCAATGATCTGCTCAGTGTCTTGATTCCATTTAAAATATTTATAAACCAAAAGAGACAATACAAATAAAAATAGTACCTCTGGTTAGTTATTAACACGTCTTCTTTAGGAGACCCAAGCCAAACCAAGCCAAAAAACAACACATGTTTTGTCACCTTGGACTCTGTCAAAAAAAAAAAAAAACCAATTCGCGTCTGTCCTACCAAAAAAAAAACCAATAGTAATAGGATAAATAATTAGATGTGTTTGTTTTTGTTGATCAAATAATCTTTTTTTTAAATTTCTTATTTATAGAAACATGTTGAGAGTTAAAAATTTAAGGAAAAGAAGCAACAATAAAGGAATTGCTGATGATCGTGGGTAAGTGTTTTAAGGATGATGGTGGTGGTTATTGCTCACCACTCGCCGTCACTCTAGTTATTTAAAAGAATGGTAATGGTGGTTATGTCCATTCATCATTAACTCTATTCATGCATAGCAGAGAATTTAAACCATTTGGAAGAGCTCCGTCTATTATAAAATGAAATAATTAAAGATTATATTTTTTATTTTTATTTCATTA